CCCCGTGTTGATAGAAATCAACACGTAATGAAATAAGACCCCACGGTTTGATGATTGATAGGTTTGTGGGCTGTCTTTCATTTTGACACACAGAACCAATGTTATAATAAACGTATAAGTTTGTTAAATGGATATATCCGCCTTCTTTCATTTATCTTTGCATTCCCACAACAATATACATAAAGAAATGGTATATTTTGGACATAGTTCGAATGGTGATTAATCATGATTAATTAATTTTTAAGCTGTGATTAATCTGATTAACATTTGTAATCGTTTGACAGCCCTAATATATATATATATATCCCGCCCGTAGGTTCACCTTGTTGATTTGGCTTAAATCCAAAATATTCCCACACCGGAGAAGGAGTTAGGTTTTAAAACCAATTTGATTTAACTTCAAATTCCCCATGAGTAAGTCACACGTTGTCTCCTGCTCGTCTCTATATTATTCATTTGGCTGCTACGCTGCTGCACGCGGAGTGTCCTGACCTGGCTGTGCGTGAGCCCCGCCCCTCAATCGCTTATCGCGACAGGCCTATCCACATGTATATTCTCCATAGGCCTAAACATATAACTATATACACATTCACCCCTCCTTAGTCATCTGCTCATATTGAATCTTCTCCCTTCATATATTTGACCCTCTCCTCCCTTTTCAAACGTTCTTATAAAGAAGTTTAATAATAATAAAATGAAGAAGAAAGGGAAAGGTCATCAAAACAAATAGATTATTCACAATAATAAAATGAAATAGGAGGAATGATTGAATAAGTAAATAAACGTAGCATTCAGAAAAAGGTCCTATTCTCTCTTTTACATTTTTCCATTACCTCTGTATATCTGCTGTACACTGATACTATACAAAAAAAAGATTGAACAGCCTAACAAAAAAAAGTAATACAAACATTACATCCACCAAGGCTTGCTGTGGGGTGAAAGCCATTCAATGCTCTGGTCTGCAGTTTCTGGGAGATGCCATGTCTGAATAAGATGCTGCAACCTTTATACAAGTCTACTGGATTGCATCGGAAACATGAGAAACTATTGATGTGATGATGGAAATAAGAACGTCTATTTCTTCTCTGTCTGTTTCCAGGGAGAAGAAGAAGGAGCAGGAGAGGGACGAGCTGTGGAAGAAGCTGGACGAGTTGAGGCTCAGCAGCAGCGCTCTCGTCCAGAACAACAGCCACGGGTTCCCGGGTGTCCAGAACAACAACAACAACAACAACAACAACAACAATAGTAATAATAATGACACCCAGGACAAGAGCGCCGAGGCTGCTGCCGTCACCTCAGAAAACAAAGGTCCTGACGACAGTGTGGCGGCCAATGAGAGCAGCCCATGTGCCAAATGACACCGGATGTTAGTTTTTTATTAACGGTTTGACATCGTGTTCAGGACTGTCAGGAGAGGATTAACGGAGACAGAAAAAAACACAAATTACACCTCAACAGTATATTAAAATCAATTTAGAGTGACTTAGAAACGCCAGCATTTCCTTGGCATAAAAAAAATATATATATTTCAACTTAAGACTATTTTTGGATGTTACAGTGTGGCTGCAGTATCTTCTTTATTCGTCTGATCAAAGATTTATCCTTTCACATTTAGTTTCTTAACTGAAAATGATTTTTTTGTTTTGTTTATATTCGTTGTATGATACATGGGAGGGGAGAAAATAATGATGACTTGAATTTAATGTTTCCGATTGTGCTGCACTTAGACAAGCTGAATAGCTATTTAAAGATGTCTATTTTTTAATGTGCTTTTCCTTGTTGCTGCCAACGCTTTGGGTGCAAACCTTAAGGAAGAAGGGAACTCGGACTTTGGGAGTATTCGGGGTAGATGGGACCAGATCCATAATTAAACATTGAGTGTCCATTGATGTATTGAAAAGTGTAGTTACCACAAGAAGCTACAGGACCGTTATCTCACTTTAGAGATAGAGAAGGGGAGGTGCATGGCCAAAAAGAAGATAAATCCTGATGAATAATTATAATCCCAGATATGGATTGATATCTCTGTAAGTGACTCTAGTTGAGACTGAAATTAAAACGTGTTCTCAATTAGGGTAGATGTCATATTTGTGAGATTATTTTTGTGTTTCGGGTGTTTGTAACTGTTCGTTTAGCTGGGTGAAGCTAATAGATGTCACACAACACCTGCATTTATAAAGTCACACTAAAGTATTGAGACGGGACATTCAAAGAGTGAAATGTTTTTCAGCCAAGCAGCAATTAAAGTAATGTTTCAACTTTTTGGGGAAAAGCCTTGTTGGCTTTTTAATTTTGAGAGTTAGTTTAGAAGTTTGATACCACTCTCATAGTGTAAGAAACTGCAGATGGTTAGCTTAGCATAGACCGCAAATGGAGGGAAACAGCTAGCATAGCCCTTTTTAAAGCCTTATTCAGACCTACTCGCAAACACACATTCCTGGTAGTTTACCTCGCAATCCCTTTGACCAAAGAAAAAATATCTTATATTTAAAGTTCCAGAGATGTAAAATCAAGTCTGTATTACAAACACGTTTAATGTTTCACCAACTGGACTTCATGGAGCGTATTTCATCGTCTTACCTGTAGCTTAAAAAATGCCGCCCTAGCATGAATCATCAATTTGACGTTTATAGGGAATGTTCAGTATAGGACTATTTCTGAATTGTCGTTTTAACGCCTAGCTGTTTGTTTATAAAAAATAAAACATGTTAATTTGTTAGAGTAATGAGGTGGATTTTTATACTTTTAAACAGGGCTAGGCTAGCACTTTTCACCCGTTTCCCATATCTATGCTAAGCTAAGCTAACTGCCTTCAAGTTCATCGTACAGACGTGATTTATTGATCTTCTCATCTAACTCTCGCCAAACAAAAAAGCCAATAAGGGCATTTCCATAAAAGTATTAATTTAAATCAAGTTAATTAAGAAATAAAAACATATGAGACCTACAGTACTATCTTTTCTAGAGTATTGACGAGGCAAATATTTTCTAACGTTTCATTTTGCAGATGAATTATGATGGGGTGCAGGATGTGCTTGAGTGTATATTAGTCGAGTGTGTATTATGTTAGATTGGAGGCTACTTAAAGGGAAATGCCACTCAATTTAAGATTTTTCTGTACAGTATATTGTTTCCGTGGTCTAGGAAAGTGCAGTCTTAGGAACATAAATGGTTATCTGTCAAAGCCGAGAAGACTTACACTTGTCTTACCACTTATCTGGCATTTTACACAATGCACAAGAGGCTGAGTTTTTATATCCAAACTTATTATGAAGTAGTGATATCAAGAAACACCAGAAAATCCGAGTAATCTTTACCATCAATGCCTGTTCACTCCCCGCATCTCCAGACTTTATAACCTCACATTTGCTTTTAGTGTCGACGTCGGGAGTTTGATGAATGTGTTCATGGACTTAATCTGACTGCCGTAGATCATAGGAACAACTTGTGACTTCTTTTTAAATTGAACGGTGTTCCCGCTGAACCCCGAGTGTCTGCTCTCTTACTTCTTCTGAGTTTTTAGGTCCAGTCTTTTCTGATGCCTTTCTGTCAGTACAGCATTCCAACCTCTGTGACGTTAAAAAAAAAACTGCGTGGGGAACCTGTTTTGTAATCGCAGATCTTATTTAGGTTTCACCATCAAATAAAGTCTACTCTATCTTTCTACTCAAAGCATCCATAACCAGTGTGTTTTTTCCTTATCTCTCCCTAGTGTTTAGGTGTAGTACACCACAGAGGTCAACAGAGGGGGACATCTTTGTCATCAGCATTGAGCAAAATCGATGCAAAATAATTAAATAAAATAAAGAATACCTTTTTATTTTTTATCAGGTTATCATTGAGATCCAGATATTTTCTGTAAGAGAGACTTGAGTACAGCAGAAGAAAAAATGAAACACGGGCTCAAAAACAATCACACACCTCTTAAAGTTGAGTAGCACTTGAAATGTTTTGGCTCTATGAAACCTGTACTTATATGATTCTGTTTTCTTCAAGTTTGTATCTTCCTGGTCGAATGCACTTATTGTAAGTCGCTTTGGATAAAAGCGTCAGCTAAAGCGAAATGCAATGTAATGTAAAAAGTGTTCAAAACAATTGCATTCATTGAAAAACCGAGCAACCATTTTATAAATATACACATGCCAACCTATACCCATCTTCACATAGGCACTTGGTTGATTCAGATAATAAAACAATATCAAATTAACAAATAAATGATGCAATGGATAAAAGTAAACCTTTATTGATTTCTAGGTTAAATTCACAAGCTCTCCATGCCTACAATAATAAGTAACACCTTTACCAGGTGAAACTTTAAAGTAAATACATAAAACAATCAATTCTTATATTTCAATCAGACAATTTAAAAAGTCTGAAATGGGCCATTCTGAATAATGACTGCTTTTACCTTTAGTGCTTTAAGTATGGAGGACTTTGACTTGTAATTCTTTGTACGTTGTGATGAGACTACTTTAAATATCCTTCTACCGCTGTGTGAAAGTGCTCTGAAGAAACATCAGCCGTTATTTAAAACGGAAGAGATTGAATTTAGACCATTAGAGCCCATTTTGTGGCAGGCTGTGATTACAGCTCTTTCTCTAAATAGCAGTGCTGTAATAACTGGAGATGATTCGCTCCTTCCACCGGTTAGACACTTCCATGCATTGTTCTCACTTTTCATCATTTTTAAAGTGTAGGGCTTCATCCATAGCTTTATTTGTAATCAATAAGCAATTACAGCTTACTGAGGGAGAAAAACAAATAGATATTTTCTCATTTCAAGTAGTGATTTTACTTAATGTAATATATTAACTCTTCACTCCCTGGGATTCATATGAACTGCATACATAAAATGCTGTATTTGGATCTTTAAGTGTCCAGTTTGTTTACTTCATTGTATTGCATTTGGTTATATATTGTATTCTTTAATAAGGACACAGAAGGAGGTGGTTGGGAATATCTCTTTCTTGGTTTTTTTAACAATTTTTGTATAGACAATTCAAACCAATACCTTACGTCAGGGCTATTCAATTACACATTCAGTTGGGCCAGATTTTATAACTACACAATTCAGCTGGGCCAGACATTCAGCGGCCTGTAAAAAGCGGGTAATGACAAATTTTAAACCAACACATATTACTGCGATGAAAAACATGCCATTTGTATTAATTGTTCATCGAACAAAGGTACGTCAAAAAGTGCATAAAAACACAAAAAATTAGCATTAATTTAACAGAATCTGAGGCATCTCAAAGTGCATTTAACTGAATACAATAATAGCAGTCTTAATAAATGTCCTCACATACAAAATTGGATACATATAACCAAATGCACATCAAAAAGTGCATTAACAAACAGTTAAAGAGCTCCAATGTAACAAAAAGAGGTAGTACTATAGCAATACTATTTTTTCACTTTTCAAGTAATAAAAAAATTATACGTTTTGGTCACATTTGACACAGACACATTACAACAAAAAAAGAACTGTAAAACCCTTCGGTGCACAAACCCATAACAAGGGATAAGGGTAACTAACATGAATGAATAGGCTACTACACTACACGTCTACTATAGTAAACGAGGTGCTTACTATCACCTCATTTGTGATTTGTCATCGCTGACTTTCTCAATGGGAGAAGTGACATTTTTTGTTTTGAACAAGAGCAGTGATTTTTGGCTCATAGGATGTCAATGCAATCCTAAGACATTGGTGGTCAGTCAGGGAGCAGCGAGGGCTAATTTTTATTGAGTTCATGTGCGAAAAGCTTGATTCACATGTGTATGTTGATCCAAACATACTGAGCACACAGATCGCTACTTTCTGAACGTTAGGGAACTGCTGTTTTTTGACATCACTCCAAAACTTCGCTGGCCCGTTAGTGCGCTGCTCTTGTGCCATGGTTACGTTTGAATGCATGTCAATAAGTTCCAGTGTATATTCCCCTCGTCGATGCAGGGGACCACTTCCTTTGCTCTGGTTGATACGTCCCCCTCTATTGCAACAGTGAAGGGGTCTCTGGCAAAGCCACATCACCTCTGTGGGCAGAGCAAGTCCATCCAATCGACCGCCAAAGTTCTCTTTCAACCTCGCAATGAAATCTGTCATCACATCCGTGATTTGTGCTGGGGATGTGATGTGTTTGCGGAGCGTCGGAAAATGCAGTATCCGACCCGTACTTAAGTCGGTCGCGAAAAGGTCCAGCTTGACGCGCATCTGCTCCACAAGATCAATGACCGTTTTGTCTTTGTTTACGCTTCAGAGTTGAGAGAGACATGTTTTAGAGTTGCTATCATAGCACCACCGTTACTAGCACCACTAGATGCACTTTCAAAAAACGTGCTGCGTTGTGGTTTGGTGGTTTCTATGCAACGCGGAGTGTTGCGTTCATGGTCTGTACTAGTGTAGGAATTTGGCCACGGGAGGCTGGGCTACTCCGGAGTTGGTTCTGGGCCGCATCTGGCCCGCGGGCCGCCAGTTGAATAGGCCTGGCCTACACCATCGCTAACAGCTTAAAATGTTAATAATATGTTAAAGTGATCAGCGGAGATGGCATAAAAGTGACTGGTGCTGGATGAGGAAGGTTGGTTTTGTGTGTGTGTGTGCGTGCGTGTGTGTGTGTGTTTTAGAGTCCAGGATAGGGCTGGGCGATATATCGAATTTACACGATACATCGTGGATTGCACTACATGCGATGTCGTAAATGACCACATCGT